CTGAGGGGAGAGAAGGCACAAAACATGCCAAATAAGAAAGACACGAATGACAACAGATGGTTTCCCAGAAGCAATGCATTCAAGAGTACAGTGGTTGCAACCTCTCTCAAGTGCTGAAAGGGAAGGAAGTGTCAACCTAGAATTCTCTGCTTACTACAAATAGCTATCAAAATAAAGGCTTTTTCAGACATGAAAGCTGAAAGAATTCATCACGAGCAAACTTGCACTGTGAGGAATGTTAAAGTACTTCAGGAAAAAAGAAAATGATACCAAGTCTGAACATGAATATATACAAAGGAATGAAGAGCAACAAAAATAGGAGTCTTTCTGCTTGTCTCTCCTGAGAGTATGTGAGTTGTGTGGGGGAYGGGGGTGGGAGGGGGATATATTTTGCTTCATTTGATTACTTTTTATTTGTCTGACACAAAGTGCACAAATCATAAGTGTATAATTGTTGAACTTGAACAAATTGAATATATACCCATATAACTATCCTCTATACTGACAAGCACCTAAAAATCTCCCCTTTTCTAGTTATTCAACCCTCATGAGCAAGCACTACCCTGACATCCATAAACATAAGTTAATTTTGCCCATTTTTGTTTTTTTATAAATGGAGTTATGCATTCAGAAATTGTGTGAAWACACCTTTTCATATATGGTCATCTATATGGTCTGTGTTTCGTTGATTTAATTATAAAGAAATTGTTATATTATGCTCCACTATAATTTAATTTCATTTTCAGTGCTTTTAAATTTATTAAAGTAAAAGAGATTGATTACATTTGCCCTTTCTTTATATTACTCACTGGAAGGGCAAAAACTATTCTTTCCCACTTGCTCACCACAACCTGAGCCTGGGACTCCTTTATTTGATAATTTCAGCTAATATCTACCATCCATTAGATATCACTTAAAAACCAGAATCCAATCTCAGTAATAAACATACAAACATCTCTGAATTCAGAACCTACATCTATTTTAGCTTAAAATTTACAGCAGAAAGRTACAATTTCTCAAAGACAAAGATTCTGGTGAAGCAAGGGGCAAGCAGAGATTCTCACCACCAAATCCCATGGAGACCTGGGAGGAGAAACTCAGAGTAATTCTTGGGACTTCCTACCTGTAACTCTTAAGTCAAGACACTCAGTTCACTGCTAATGCAGACCACACTAAGTTAGACAACATCAATGGGCTGACACTCTCTCTCCCCCTCTCTCTCTCTCTCTCTCTCTCTCTCTCTCTCTCTCTCTCCATATATATATGGTACTGGGAATCTAACTCAGGGGTGCTCTACCACTGAGCTACCATCCACAGCCCTTTTTATTTTTTATTTTGAGATAAGGTCTCACTGAGTTGCTTAGGGTCTCACTAAGATGCTGAGGCTGACAATCCTTTAGCGTCAGCCTCCCTGAGTTGCTGGAATTATGGATGTATACCACACACTAGATAGATTTATTATTTACCTTCAAAGAAGAGAATTAATAGGAGATTGGAATGGATTAGTAAAATGCCTGCTTAATAAGGGCATGACAGGGGCTGGGGTTGTAGCTCAGTGRTAGAGTGCTCGGCTTGCATGGGGAAGGCACTGAGTTCAATCCTCAGCACCACAGAAAAATAAAGGTGTTGTGTCCATCTACAACTAAAAAAATATATWTTTTTTWWAAAAARGAACATGACAAAGAATCAAAGGGCTGGTCTATAAGCCAACAGTGTTATGTTTCACAACTTAAGATGAAGGGGACTAAAAGTGAGTTCYGTGAGATAAATGATTACACTTTTCAGTACAGTTAGGGGAAAAGAGGTAAGGGGCAACATAGGCATTAAAGCACAAGTCTCCCCTGCTTCAATACAGCTCTCTTTGTCAGTGGTAGATATGTTAACTCCTGAAACCAGGGTTGCCATTAAAGATCCCAAAGTCTAGTRGTATTCCAAAGCAAGATAATATGAATGTTAACTTGAACCTAAATGGAAAAATTCCAAAGGGATTGGTGGATTGGATTATTTATTCCCTGCACCTCATCAAGTTGAAACTGATTGCAAATGTTTTTTTGTCTGGTAGTAAGGATAGTCCCATTTCTATTTATCCAATCCAAGCCACTCCATATTTATTCAGTCTCTGATCCTCCTGATTGAGAATGGGGAAACCCCAGAAAAATCTCATCTTGCTACCAGCAAATGTAGGCTAGCCCTGTGATTTAGCCAGAGAGACATACCTCGCAGGGAAAGATGTAGATTTAAGTTAATAATMAGTGGATAATGATTAATGAAAATGAAAATTGTTGCTGAGGATAGTTCATAAATAGCTGTTACAAAAGGTAAGAGCTTATATAATTGTGGTGCCTTAAGAGAATCTCAGAGCAAAATAATGATATTCTCTTAAATTTAACTTCAGATGCCTCTTGGAATAAAGGACTTTTTGCTCCCAAAAAAGTCCACTTCTGAACAACTAAGAAATAAGCAGGATAATAGCCAACCCAATGAATATACACATGCTTCAAAGAGTGGTCTATGTCCTCAAAATGTATGAACAAATGGAAGCTCGGACCGTAACTCTAGGAACAATACTAATGTGACTGTCTTTTGGGTTTCATTTCACAGGACAGGGTTATTATTAAGTTCCTAAGTTGGGAAACAAACTATGGAAATACATATCCAGTTCAATCTGGAGAATATACTTATTAATACTAATCTGAATATAAAAAGACCATTAATTGTAGTGTTGAAGAATTAAGGAAGATACTAGGATAGTCTAGAAAGTCCCATCTGTCAAAAATCATGTGTAAAAATAGCTCTTTGTCTTGTTATTGTGGGTGGAAAGCCATAAGGAGATGGAGGAACTGAAAGAGTAGGCATGGAACCCAAATTCTGACCCAACTATACCACTTCTCTCAGTATTTACCCTAAAGAATTAAAGTCAGCAGCATACTGTAGCGATACATGTATGCTCATGTTTATAGCAGCACAATTCACAATAGTCAAATTATGGAACCAGTCTAGGTGTCCACAAACAAATGAATTGATTTTTTAAAAATGTGTATATATACACCATGGAGTTTT